TTTTAGTCCTACCATATTACTCTGATTTCTTGGCCCAGACATCCCTATTATTCAAACAAGGAAAAGTATGGCAACCGCAATTTAGATGACTGATTGGAGGCTGCTTTGCTTATCGGGTAAACTAAGGAACAAATATGTATGTTTATATATATAGTTACGAATCCATTGCAGTAAAGAATCTGAATCCTCCAACAAAGGCAAACACAATCATCTTCTTCTTTTTCAATGCAAGAAAAAGGTTTTCTTTTCTGCATCATTGTTACTTTGGATAAGCTCCCAGTTTTCCTCTTCATAAATTACCCTTTGCTTGATTATTTCATGTTTTCGAATAATTATACAGCAAGCTAAGAATTTGAGTAAGCTGAGAGAGTCTGCAAAAGATGGGAACAAAACAGGGGGAAACAGAGACCATTAGGAAGGTTTTCAATATAAACCTGGTTTTCTTCTCTCTCTTTTCCCTTGAACTCTCTGATTAGACAAATCATTTAAAAAGAAACAAGATAAGATACACAAAAGAGAGAGAGAGAGAGAGAGAGAGGTTTCTTTTTATTATTGGGATGTAAATATTCTTTGTCGTCATCATGAATTCATGGTATTTCTTTTGGGACAACTAATTTTATAAGTCTACTTCAGGCTGTCCAAAGTTTCACATTTTCCAGCTTTTGAAGAACAAGCAAAAGAAAGACGTACAGTTGTTCAAAGAAAGGACCCTTTTTAATTAATACAAAAGGAAAAGGAAAAAGCTTCCATTGTTGTTGTTCAAGGATGCTTCGTTTCGCATGCATTATCTTAATATGTATGTTGGGCTCTTTCTTTTCATTTGCTAGAGCTGCCTTCAATCTTAGCCTCCCTCACCAACATCCTTACCCAGAATCTGTTGTTCATGATGTTCAAAGGTAGGCAGGCTCCTTTGATTGTATTTCTGATTTTTTATACGTTCATGATTTTGTGTGCGGAAAGAAGAAGAAAATCACAGTTTTTCGATACCCATTTTAGTGTTTTTTTTATAACCGAGGCCAATACCTCATTATTTTGAGTTGGAAAATTTCATAGTTTTTGACCTACTGTTTTCTCTTACCAAATTTAGTGAGTTTTTGTTTTTTTAAAATAACCTTTTTTAAGAATTTTCATATGTAAGCAAGTTGCTCAATTTCCTCCCCTGTTTCCCGGAAAACTTGCAGAACTCCCAGAAAATTTACTTGCATTTTACTGAAAACGTTCACATTAATCTTTGTAGGAGATTAAATGTGTCCGTATCAAGAAGACAAGCCCTCTCCGTAAGCCAAAAAGATCAATGCCTAACGGGAAACCCCATCGACGATTGCTGGCGGTGCGATCCCGAATGGTACAACAACCGCCAACGCTTAGCCGACTGCTCCATCGGCTTCGGACAAGGAACCCTCGGCGGCAAAGGCGGTCGAATTTACACAGTCATGGATTCATCCGACAACGACGTGGCTAACCCCACACCGGGCACGCTCCGACACGCCGTCATCCAAGACGAACCCCTCTGGATCATCTTCTCGACCAACATGGTGATCAAACTCAAACACGAACTCATTTTCAACTCATACAAGACCGTCGACGGCCGTGGCACGACCGTTCACATAACCGGGAACGGGTGCATAACGTTGCACTACGTTCAGCATGTGATCATACACAACATCCATGTTCACCATTGTAAACCCTCGGGGAACGCCGACATTGCGTCGACGCCGACGCACGTCGGCCGGAGAGAAGGATCGGACGGGGATGGGATCTCCATTTTCGGTTCACAGAAAATCTGGATCGATCATTGCGCCCTTAGTTACTGCACCGATGGCCTTATCGATGCCACCATGGGATCCACTGGAATCACAGTTAGTAACAACTATTTTTCTCACCATAACAAAGTCATGCTTTTAGGGCACGATGACAGGTATTTGGTGGATTCGGGAATGCAAGTGACGATAGCGTTTAATAATTTCGGAGAAGCGTTGGTGCAAAGAATGCCGAGGTGCAGGCTGGGGTATATACATGTGGTCAACAATGACTTTACTGCTTGGGAAATGTATGCCATCGGCGGTAGTGCCAACCCCACCATCAATAGTCAAGGGAATCGATATACTGCTCCTGTCGACCCTAATGCCAAAGAGGTATTCTCTTCTTTTCTTCAATTTTTAGATTGTATGAGATGAAAGAGTAATGAAGAGCGCGTTATGAGTTGAAGCATGGATTTGGTTTTCTTTCTTGTCTGCCAATTTGGGAAAGGATGACGAAATTTTATGATTGATTAATGGTTTTGGTTGGGGGGCGCCTTTTTGACTTATGTTTCTGGCCGTGGATTCTTCTTTTTCCGCAAGTGGGGGCTCATTAATTATCCCCCACTCTCAGTGATGGTGCGTGGAAAGTACGTGTACTGTCATTTTTAAATTTTTAGCTTTAAAATCTCGAAATTTCATCTGTAATCTAAACAGTACAGAACTAGTTATAGGAATATAAACTAATGAAATTTAAAAATATATCTCTACAATTTAACATTCAAAGATAAATAATAAGCTTTGACTTAACAAATGAGCGCGTGTTGCGTAAACAGGTGACGAAGAGAGTGGAGACAGATGAGAGAGAATGGGCAGGGTGGAATTGGAGGACGGATGGGGACTTAATGGTAAATGGAGCGTATTTCGTGCCATCGGGAGCCGGCGTAAGCGCTCAATATGCTAAAGCTTCAAGCGTCGTGCCTAGATCCGCTGCCTACATTGAGCAGCTCACTTTCAATGCTGGCGTTTTCGGCGAGTCCAGGTATGTCAAAACCCAATATTACCCTTTTTTCTCTTCTTTAGACATAATTGAATTACCTGTCAAACGTCAAAGCTTGGTATAATTCTTATTATGGGGCTCCAACTTTTATCAAAATTTGATAGTAACCCTCGTGCTCGCCCACGAAACGATTAATGAAATTAAATACTAATTTCTTATTTCTTTGATTTAAAAATTGTAATCCGATCATTGATACCATAAGCTTTGTACGTAATTTTTGAGGGGAAATATTAACAAAGCCAACAATTAGACTAAGAATTTTAAATCGAAAAAGTTAAGGAATCTAAATTTAAACTTTTTAAGTTTAGAGACTGTATCATAAACTTTATATAAATTTAGTCCTAATTCACTTACCTTTGCATGGTGTTTCAATCCACCCTTTAGATTCTTTCTTTCTTCACAATCGACATCTATTTTAATATACGAGTATGTATAATATACATATATGAAATTCTTATTTTTTTGACCAGAAACTATTTCAATATTTGAATACGTATCGTATACGAATATAATACGTATCGTATACGAAATTGAAAAGGAGAGTGACCCACGAGAAAAGGGTATATTTTTTTGGGGTTTCAAGTTGTTGAAAGGGTAAGTTTTATATTCCCTTTGATCTACAATACTTGGACCTCACAAAATAGCTTTATTAATAGCGTATAGAAGGAGAAGATGCTTCCTTCTCACTTATTGTGTGGGGTGGGCCCTTTCCCTTTCTTCTTCTACCTTTTCCTTGGCCGCGTAGACATGACATTAAATGTGATATTTCAAGAATCTTACGAAAATATTATGATGTGTGACCTTTTGCATGCTGGGAGTGGAATTATTTTGTACAGGGCAGAGACTGGGAGCTTTGTTTATCCCGGATCCGTCGGCAACAGCGGGTCCACCGGCACCGGCACCACTAGCGGCGGTGCAGGGTCCACTGACGATGGCAACTACTTTGGAATGATATTCGGGAACGGCGCGCCACCAGATTCGACCCCACCACCTTTGACATCAACATTTTTGTGTCCTCTAATTATTTTAGTTTTGTATTCTATTACCAACCAAGGTGCTCTACCGCCACTATTATTATTATTATTGTAATAGGAAATACAAAAAAGAAGAAAATCAAAATTATAATTATAGTTTAATTTCATATATGAAATGAAAGAAACCAAACATTTCATTGATTAGTTTGGTTCCTGGTCGCTATGTAACACAAAAAACAAATAACATATGCTCAATTGGCGTTACCTTCCGACCTACGGTTTAATTAAAATAATATTTAAATATTAAATTAAACAAAAAAATCAATTTTCAATTAAATCGATTTAATTAATATTATAAAACACCGATAAAGTGATGAGAGGATTTTGAAAATGATGTTGGTCCCCCTTTTACACTTTCCCTTTCTTTTATTGGTTTTTGATTGGCTTTATCTTTGGATAACAACGGCGAGCATATTTTATTGGTTTTTAATTATCGATAACATATACTCATTTTATAGACACAACTACTCGAATCTGATACTTCTAAGAAAATAAGTATATATAAATACTGAATGAATCGAAAACATATTACATATATAAATATTGTTCTTTGATATCTATTATCTTCTTCCATTTTATTTTTTTCATTAAGCGAAATAATTTTGATTAAGTTTTTCAATTTTAACTTTCGATTTATATTGTTGATTATTTACTCAGTTTTAAAACAATTGCTTATTTTCAATATACATATCAAATTGATCAAATATAATTACATGTGATAATTATATTCAAAATACTTTATATTTTATATTAACGAGAAAAATATATATTTAGTTTATTAATAGTATCTTCCATATGAAATTAAGAGCTAAAAAATGGGAGCAAAAAAACTAAACTTTTACAGGTTCATCATTCCTCTCATTCATACATATTCTCGGAACCGAACATGCAAAAATTCCACGGCAATTTCAATAGGTCAAGCCCATCTAATTTTCTATTCCTTGGATTAATAAAAGCTCGAATTAAGGTGAATGTCAAAACGAATACATATTCTGATATTCTATGCATATGTTCATTTTTTAGGTTCTTTCATGTACTTTTAGGGTTCTTGAGAGGCCATATTTTCATAGTACACAAAAAAATACGATGTCTTCTTATCAAACTTGGGACTTCCTATAGAAGATAGGATGTTTGATGTCCATAAGAAAAGAACAAGTAAACAACGAGCATGTAATTAACAGCATAATATGACATTGTTATTTTTACACTCTTATAATCGATGCTAAACAAAAGCAGGAACCCATGGAGAAACACGAAGCTCACAAAATTGATACTACAAGAAGAATAAATATACTTATGAATGCAAATAAAACAAACCTCGTGTCTCTGGCATCTCGCAAAAATTTCCCGGTGGTTGGCGCATGTCTGACAATAACTTCAAAGGAAAAGGCTTCAACATCGTGCTGTTCTGATAGGGAGTCGAGAAATTATCCAAATCATATGATTTGGATGACTTAATCGAGCAACTTCAAGTGCTAATGGGATAAAATCTCCGACACTCGATCTTGTGCATCAGGAGGTATCTCCCTTCCAGGAACTTGGACTTTTAGAAGATTAGCGTACCTGTCGAAACAAAGCATAATCTGTCACTAAACAACACGAAAACATTGTGGTTCAACTGGAAAAGAATTAGCAACGCTACTAATTCTGCAGCAGTGAACAAATGCTCGTGCTCGTGTTCAGTACAGTAAATAATCTGAACAATATGAACATTTAAATAAGAAAACTTTTATTGCAACAAGCTCATATGTGAAGCAACTCTCATAATTTATGTTAATCCGACTTTTCATTTTTGTTAAATTATTAATCATGTCCACCACATATTTGAATTCGACTATGGTGATATAGTACTCCAGAAACCTTCCAAATACATGAAAATCTTAAAGAATTCTTCTTTCATGAGGGATTTAGTATTTAGAGAAAAAGAAAAGCATGTTACCCAGATTCAAGGTCCGTGAAGGATACGGGTATACGTCCAGCACAGATATGTTCAATTTTTTCTAAGTTTTTCCATATAATTGGAGATTTATGCTTCTATGTCCATGTCCAAATATGTGTCGGAAACAGGAGTCAAATATTGATTTTTATAAAAAAAAATGAAGAGTCCGAACAACAAAGGTAACGACAATTAGTAAAACATTACCTCTAAGAATTCACCATCCAGTTCTTTCAAGAACAGTCGTATCTGTTCAGAGAAGACATTGAGAATTAGCAAAACGAGTAGGGGCATGATTCTAAGAAATAGTCCAACACAAACACACACACATTAAGCTGCACGGTAACTATTACCTAAGGCGTAAACACGCCTGGGTGCATGCCTTGACTATACTAGGGTTTATTTCAAACATGCAAGAATGTACTAATAGTGTATACTAGAAGGTGACTTTAACTAAATCCTTGATAAGGATGTAATTTAAAGACCTTTCCCCCTTGCAGACCCCCTCCAAGAAGGGGGTCTTGATTCATGTTCAACCTTACTCCGACTCTTCATTTTCCTTGAATACCCGTGTCCAGCTCATATTCAAACATGGATATGGAAATACAATCTTCTAAGCACATTGAAAAACTTAGCAAAAAAATGAGCATTACCCCTTTACCCTTCATAAGATACACAACTTCCAAGTCCCTGTAACAGTCTTAAACCACCACAAGAGGGGGGGGGGGGAAGAAGATTTCCTCTTTACCCTTCATAAGATAATGAAACTCCTAATAAAATTTTGCATGCAACAATGTAGCTCACCATGGGAATACAATAATCTATTCAAGCTCTAAAAAGAATGTACCACAGACAATGAAGTTTCATCCAAAATGACAAGTAACATTTACCAAACATTACCTTCTCATCCTCACTGACTTCAAATCCAAGCAACAATAAAGCCTACGAAATAAACAAAGATTAAAAATCCTAGAAATGTAAAATGGGTTCGGACTGTGTCTATGTTCTATATTTTATTGCTTAGACTCTTCATTTGTTTTTAAGTATCGGTATCTGACATGTATGGATATGGGTATTGGCCATTGTGTAGACCTTTCAAAGACTTTCTAAATATGTGAGAAACTTTAGGAAAATTTGAACATGCCAGTTTTAGATACTATAAATATCAGATGCCTATACTGGAGTCCGAGCAACATAGACTATTTTCATGATGCATGATGAGGTTGGGAAAGTCTAAGGAACAACCGCCTAATTTAAGGCTACGGAACGGCAAGAAATGGGCGGAACCGAAAATGTGATAAAAAATAACATTTCCGGTTGAACGCAACCAAAAATGTCAACTTTTTCCTAACATTTCGGTTCGCTCGACTGAAAATGTTACACTTTTTATCACATTTTCGGTTGCACCCATTTTCTGCCGTTCCTTAACCTTAAATTAGACGGTTGTACATTAGAACTTCCCAGACTTCATTGTCTAGTTCTCCATTATTTTGATTCTTATTTTTTTTTAAATATCTTTATCCAATCATAATTTGATATGTGTATTGAGATAAGAACCTCCAAGAACTTTCCAAATATGAGATAATGAGATACATATAAATATCTAACAGTTACACTCAAACTCAAGTGTGCATTATTTCTTAAGAATGGTTATTATTTGATACTTTTAGTGCAAAGTTTCACTCAAGAATGAGATAAGAAACTAACCGGAACTTACAGGTGGACCATATGTGGGATCATCGGCATTCAACGGAACAAACTTGGAATCCTCGTCTAATTCACCAGGTGGTCCTGCAAAAACACATCAAAGACAAACTCTTGAGCATAGGAAATTTGCAAAGAAACACTAAAAGATTAGATTGAATTGGCTCGGTCAATGTTGCTTAGACTTGAGGACGAGTATCATGTATGGATATGCTACCGACCACAAAAGAAACATACTATATGCAATTCTACACTCGAATCCTGAATACACGAAAGCTATACCTTTGAACATATAAATATAATGACAAAATACATGATAATTAACGCCAATAAGACAAGGGGGAATCAACAGCCTTAACCAGAGTTCAAAACAATAGTATCAGGGAGCGACGCAAAATTTTATGTTAGGGGCAAACTTAAATTTTTAAAATTCTAGGGGTGTCAAAGCATATTTCAGTAGAAAATACATAGAAAAAATCTCAATTTTAAAATTTTAAGGGCGATTCCCTCACCCGCCCGCCTAGGTCAATCCCTGAATAGTACCCATTCTAAACAAAAAGGGTGAAACTCTAAAAAAATCATTTAGAAAATAGGAATCGAGTTTGAAAGGAGAGCAAACCTTCAGCTGATGCTCTTGTTAGTGGATTGGAGTTGTGGAGTTTCTTCATGCGATCAAAAACAACATTCTTAGCTGGAAATGAAGTAACTGAAGGAATTAAAGAAGAATGAGGCTTTCCCAGAAGATTCAAACGAAACCCAACACTAAATGCCATTTATTTTCAAAATTTTCCTCACTAGTTTCGCAGTTCAAAAGCTTTGGTTCTCAATTTTCTTGATCTGTTTCAGTTGATAAGGGTTGAGTGCCATCCGTATTTACACTTTCGCCGCGTCAAACCTATTGATTGGAGCCCCTATAAATATAAGGCTAAACTATACCATTGATCATTAAATTATTTTGGCTTTTTAATTTTACCATTTTTCTTTTAATTTTGTAATCAAACTACTTAACTGTTGACAATCAAGTCATCTGTCATTAACAATTGACGGAAATGCTGATGTAGTAGTTAGAAAAATTATTATAATTATATATTTAGTCCTTAATACTTATACATTATATCAAATTAATCTTAATTTTAATTTAACTTAATAAATTTGATCATCTAATTATATTATGACACGTGTCATAACACGAACGAAATATATTTTTAATTTAATTATTTTATTTATCACCCAATCATATGGTGACATTGTCACATCGAATTGGATGAAAAAATGATAATAGAAGAATAAATAAGAAAGGGAGGGGGTTGGGGATTCAAACCTGTACAAAATTGGATTAAAAACCAATACCCAAACCACCAAGCTAGGAACACTACTTTATTTCAAAATGCAATATATAACACATGAAATATTATAATGAATTAAAGGAAAAAAAGTGAAAAAGCAAATAATTGCTACTTAAGTTAAAACATAATTTAATGATTATATATATATATATATATATATATATATTGTTGTTAAATTTATCAAATAATTTAATTTTTTAAATAAATTTGAGTTAATATATATATATGTATATTAATAAATAATTAAATTTATTAAATTAAATTAATATTAGGAACAAATTGATATAATGTATAAATATTAAGGACTATACGTATAATTATGTCAATTTCTTTAACTATCACATCAACATTTTCGTCAACTGTTAAAGGTAAATAATTTGATTGAAAACAATTAAATAGTTAAGTGGTCCGATTGAAAAAATTAAAAGATTGATGATAAAAATAAAACGATTAAATAGTTTAGTGATCATTTATATTAAATATAGTTATGTTAGTTAGAAAGATATCACATTAAAATACCCTACATTTTTTTATTAAACTAGATACTTAAAAATTAATATCTCTTTTAAATATTCTTAAAAAATATTTAATAATAATCGTTGATTGCTTTTATTATAGTTAAATAATAATCATTCATCTAATCAATAAAATGTTTGGTTCATACTCCAATGTGTCCTCTTGAATTTACTAGACCACTTTATAAATTTAAAATCCCTCTTTTACTTTTCTTTTTAAGTTTAAACATTAAATTTAAGAATGATTATATCACGTTTCTGTGCAATTATATAATTTAATTATAAAATGGATGTTTATATCGTAATTATATGACTTAATTTTTATATTTATTACCAATATCAAATTTGATCTATATTTTTATTTTAAAAAGTACTTTTAGAAACAAAAAATAAAAATTAACTCATAAATATTTTAATTTTAAAAGCCATTTAGTTAAAAATAAAATCAAACCTTCCATTCTTAAAAAATATTAAATTTTATTCATTTTACTTTGAATAATTCTCAAAATCCGAGAGAGAAAAGTTGTGAGAAAGAGGTGCAAGAAACAGTGGTAATGATTAATTTCGTGACATATGATGCTCTAATTATAGGAAAAGCTATCACATTGCCACCAAGTATGAAATTATAAACCTTTAAAGCAACGTACTTTGGGTAAGGATCATGTGCAGTTTTAATATACAGTTAAAAATATGTTATCGGTTTTATTATTATTTAAATAATAAAATCGATAAAAAATCACTGAAAATATTATTATTTTTACCAGTTTTGTTATTATTGAGCGTTTTACCGAGTTTGGTAATATATACGGTAAAAAAAATATTTTAGGTAGCGCTTTACCGTATATATTATAAAGCTCTGTAAAGTGCCCAATAATAATAAACCGGTAGAAATAATAACTTTTTAGGTAATTTTTTACCGATTTTATTATTATTTAAATAATAACAAAACCGATAATATCATTTTTAACAGTATATTAAAGTGTCGCATTATAGAACTTTCTGTAATTTCAACCTTCATTTATACGTTTGTATTATTACTAACCTCGTTTAAGTTTAGCACTGTCTTTTATAAGTGAATTTTAAAAGTTCAGTAAAAAAAAAGTGTTATCGAATTGATATTTAAAATTTAACTATTTGAGATTATTGTTAAAGAGTGAGTTTAAAATGATAAAATAAATAATTTAAATTATATTTACACTTATTAATACTATGATATATGAAATATATCAATTAAATTATAATAAAAATATAAAAATATTTTTTTGTATAAGCATCGATATCCGATCTATTGATTGAATAATCTGGATCAGGTACTGTAGAGGCAAGGGCGACCTTCCCTACCTAGTTTGCTCCATTTGTAATAGCCAATATTTGAACTTGTGACATTGCTTAAGAGATCTGATACCTCATCCCACTAGACCAACTGATTGTTGATAGAAAAAATATTGTAAGATAACTCATTAATAATATTTTTATAAATGAAATATTTTTAAAATATATATATTGATACTTTTAACATGTGGATATAAAATTATTACAAAATAATAATTTAAATATTTGTTTTGATAAAAAAATATTACAAAAATACATCAGTGCTTACAATTAAAGTAGATTTATTAAACTATTATAAAATATAAATAAAAAATATAATTATAATAAAAATATATTTTATAACAACTCACTATTAATATTTAAATCATGATTTTATTTATTTTTAAATAATTAAAATAAAACATTAAGTAATATATTATTTTTAATTGACGTTAATATTGAATTATTAAAAGAACCTATAAATACATAATTGAGTAGAGTTAATGCATTAATAAGGATAAAATTACAATTTGCTCCCAAACACAGAGTTAAAAAGAAAAAACTACATATCCTAATTTTTGCGGTTGGTTTGAAATTATCGTTTCCGTTGCAATTTTCTTTTTATTTTTTTGGTGAATAAAAGTTTAGGTCAGTGGTGACTCCCCAGTCCAAGGTCAGAGCATACCTAAGACTCAATTGGGATTTATATATGAATTTACATATTGCCTATCAAGAGTGACGATGGTAGGATTCGAACTTGGCCTTACAAACTCAATTTTTTGAATCCCAACCACTTGTGCCAACACTCATCGGTAATTATTAGAATTTATTTATTTTATTATCTGTTTGACATTGATTTTACGATCAAAACAAACTTTTTAACTAAAATGCGTTTAGGAAAAAGCCAAACAAGACCTTAACTAACTATTATCTTTACATTTTATCGGGAATTTATTTATTTTTAAATCCTCAGCGTTTTTTCCTATCAAAAGTTTCTGGTTTAATTATATCAAATAATATTTTTTAATATTACAAGATGATTAGAAGATAATATATTTTTAGAATTTTTTAATTAATTAACAACACATTTTATATATATGATTATTTAAACTTAGTATCTATTATCCTTTTCTATCACCGAAACTATTTAATAGATTCGTAAATGATAGCTTAAATAAATTTTTTAGTTATGATTTATTACACATTAATAAATTATATTTAATAATCATTAAAATTTATAAATAATTATTTGTTTGAATAATATAAATAATTATTAAATTTATTAAATTGTTATAAAATAAATACTATTACATTATAATAATTATTGAATATAACAATTCAATAAATGAGGCTTAATTTTATGTATTTTCCATACCATCGTATGCTTATTTATCAATTAAACATGAAATTTATTAAGAGAGAGAAAAACCTAATTTAATCGAACTTCAATGTTGATTATGAAATCTTAGCTATATAAACTAGTAAAATTCACTATTTTTTTTAGTTTGGTTAGATCTTTAAGTGTCAGTTTGACGTAACTTTTGAAAAATAATTTTTATAATTATTATAGAAATAAACTTTTAAAAGTGTTGTAAATCAAATTATATTTACACTTATCAATACTATAATAAAAATATATATCACCTTAAACTATAAAAAGTATTTTAAAAGTGACATAACTTAATAATTTATTATTTAATAGTTCTTTTTAATTACTAATGTTTTTTTATAATATTCTTTTTTTATCAAAATAAATATTTAAATTATTATTATGTCCACATGTTAAAAATATTGATAATATATTTTTAATAAAATATTTCATGTATAAAAATATTATTAATGAGTTATCTTAAAATATGGTTTAATATTTTTATTATAGTTTAAGTTGATATATCTTATATATCATAGTATTAATGAGTTATCTTGACGATTGCGAATAGTAAACCGGGTTGGGAGGGTCGCTTTTGCCTCTGCAGTACCCTGTCTGGATTAGTCGGTCAATAGATCAGATACCGAAATGATAAAATGTCTATTATACACATCATGTTGTAAATTAAAAATATAGTATTTAAATTATAGTAACACTTATTAATACTATGATATATAAAATTTATTAACTTAACTTAAAGTATCATAAAAAAAAAATTAAGATAACTCATTAATAATATTTTTATATATGAAGTATTTTATTAAGAAAATATATTATCAATATTTTTTAACATATGGACGTAATAATAATTTAAATACTTGTTTTAACAAAAAATATTATTTCAAAAAAATTAGTAATTAAAATAATTTGTTAAGTAATAAATTATTTTTTAAAGATGTTAGTATTAAATTATTAAAATAAAATGAAAATAAATATTTGAATGGAACCTATGCATTAGTAAGAGTAAAATTATAATTTGATTCTAAACGTAAAATTAAAACTAAAAAAGCTAAAAATCATAGTTTTTGTGATTTGCGATTGAAACAAACCTTTTACCTAAATGTACTTTTAAAAATCCACGCCAAACGGGATCTAAACTTTTAAACTGTTAAGTATGTTATTTATTTTATGTTTTCTATTGTACGTAATAAAATATTAACTTTGATTATTTTAAAAAATCCATAAAAAATTAGTACAAAAGTAAAAAATCTAAAATTGTTAAATAAAAATACATCTTCTTTGATTTATTTAGATTTTTTAAATTGAATTATATGTCATTTGACACAGGATATTTTTTAATAGAAAAAAATAAGTTGGTGTAACATGCATCATGGTTAGAAACTTCAGGGGTCAATTTGAATACAACAATTAATCAAGTACCAAAATAATGTTATAATACAACTTCATGGGCCACAATATCATTTGAGCAGAAAGACAAGGAATTTTTAGGGGGAAAAAGCGCAGGAGAAAAATGACATGAAAAAGAAATGAAGATCATGTGGCGTGTACTCTTTGCTTTAACGGTGGATCTCTTTACACGCGATCTTTCCTTTTCAGTTTATTCCACAATCCAAAGCAAGACTATCTTTCTCTTCACACTTCTCAGGTTATCGCAAGAGACTGTGAGGATAATGATGAATATATTAATTATTACTACATATTATGGTTAAATTAAATTCAATCGAATTATATATGGTTTTAATTTTTAAGTCATGATATAAAACTCAAGTAAAAATGAAAAATAATATATTATAATATGATAGGTTAAAATATTTTTTTATCTTTTAAAAATATTTGGTATAATATTTATAATATCCAAATTACTTTTCATTTATATATAAAAATACTCAAAATTTTAAATCGTTTAGTATTATGTCAATAATAACAATAATAATAATAACTAAATTAATTTTAATATATTAAAAATACTAAATTTTAACTATACACTATAAATAATTATTTGTGGAAGCGTGATTCCAAATTATTATTATTAATATATCGAATGAGATATATAAAAAGTATCAATCCCATATTTTTAAAAAGAATTATGATAATTTTTTTCTCTCAGTCTTAGACTTAAAAATAAATTTAATGTGATTTTTAATTACTTTTTTTCATTTTTGGGTTATTACAATTGATGTAGTGGTATTGATTTAACGATTTATAATATTGATGTGATAATTCATCTGTCATATTTTAATTATCAATTTAAATTATTTATTATATTCTCTGTCATATTATCAATTATTGTGGATTATTACATTAACACCGTTAATTATTATATTAATATTGTGAATTACTACGACAACATCATAACAATGAATAATAAAAACATTAATCAAAATGTCACATTAAATTTATTTTTATTAAAGATATTATTTAAAATAAAAAATAATACAATAATCGTATTTATTTTTTTCTTATGGATATTTTATATAATAATTTAATCATAAAAAAATGAAAACGACCATTTCTCGTCAGCCGTCACGTCATATTGTCAGTTAATCTCTCCAGTTCTCTTTACGCTATATATGTTCATTTCTCTTCGACTTTCATTCACTTCTCTCTCCCGGGGAAAAAAGAAGGCAGAAAAAATGGCGAAACCGAAACTTTTATGTGTATTTTCCTTGTCACTTCTCTGTCTCATTTCGTTATCCGCTGCTGATTCCTTCGTCTTAGACGACCTACGTCTCGCCGGATCGAGTTTTCCTTCGGTGCATGCAAAGGAGTTGATCAGGGCGTTGAATTTGTTTCCTAAAGAGGAAATCAACATCGTTGATCAAGACCGGATTTCCTTGAAGGAGGGGCCGAACCTGGTCGAGAAGCGGTTCATGTTCCCAAATTTGGAAGTTCCTGCTGGGGTCTCCGTTGAGGATTTGGGTCACCATGCTGGGTATTACAAGCTTGCTAATTCTCATGATGCCAGGTAAAAAAAAAAGTAAAGTACCATATCTCTAAATTGGGACATTTTCTCAGTTTCCGTGTTTCATTTGAGCTTGGGGTTTGAAAGCCATTGAGTTCTAGTGATTTCTGTATCTTAATTAGTTAACGATGAGATTACTCGGCTGTTTTATTGTGACTGTGAAGGGATTTAATAATTAAAACCCGTTGAATTGTTGAACCTATTGAGTGGCCTCAGTTGTAGAGGGCTCAGGTTCGAGCAGGTACTTCTGTTGATGTGTATGTTTTCTTAATATTTTAAGAAAAATTTGAATAGATACTTATTGTATTCATCACGAACTGTTAAAAAAAACGTTGAATTGCACAATCACAATGGTTTTGGATTTTAAAAATAGTGTATGTAAGTTGTGGTAAAACAAATATAAAAATAACATCCATGATTGTTTCTCAAATTCATGAGTTTTTGGGTGCTTATTAGTGGTGAATTTGAAATTTTATTTGGCAATTTGAAGTTCAAGTTTTTTACACCTTTCAAATATGTAGTCATTGAAAGTCGAAATCCAAATCTTCAAATTCATGGTCCCAATCATATCATTAATGAATTACCTGTTAACATCTTGCTGTTTTTGGCAGAATGTTCTACTTCTTCTTTGAATCACGCAATAGCAAAAAGGACCCTATTGTTATCTGGTTGACTGGAGGGCCAGGATGTAGTAGCGAATTGGCTGTGTTTTATGAAAATGGCCCCTTCACCATTGTTAATAACATGTCTCTTGTTTGGAATGAGTATGGTTGGGACAAGGTATTTTTCTTCTTATTTTCCGTTCTTTAGTATTTGGTATCCGCGCAATCAATGATTCATTTCTCATCTTTCTTATACTAATGTAATACAAGTAGTTTTGACTTTTGGGATACTGATGAGTGATTGAATTTGTTTTTCTCCATTTTTTTTGTAGGCATCGAACCTTCTATATGTGGACCAACCTATTGGTACTGGATTTAGTTACAGTTCTGACCAAAAAGATATTCGTCATAACGAAGATGAAGTTAGCAATGACCTATATGATTTCTTACAGGTGTCTGCTTATCTTGGAAGATGATTTTAGCATAATTATTTGTCTGCTGAATTATTTATAGTCAATATTATGAAATTGTTGAGAAATGAATAAGTTGTTTTGACTTTTGGCCGAGTTTTTCTCTTTTATTATGCTAGGCATTCTTTGCTGAGCACCCTGAGTTTGCAAAGAATGACTTTTATATAACTGGAGAATCATATGCTGGGCACTACATTCCAGCTTTTGCTGGCCGAGTCCACAAAGGAAACAAAGCTAAGGAAGGAATTCATATAAACCTAAAGGTGTGTTACTAATTATACTATGTGAAAGCTTCCTCATGTTATTTTTTAATTTCTCAAAGTTACAACTTGTCTGGAACTAATTCCTTTTGCATGCTTCAACGACATTGTGGTTAACAGGGATTTGCTATTGGTAATGGCCTGACTAATCCAGCAATCCAGTATAAAGCTTACACTGATTATGCTTTGGACATGGGGGTAATTAAGAAGTCGGATTATGATCGTATCAACAAGATGGTTCCTGTTTGTGAGATGGCAATAAAGCTTTGCGGTAAATTTGCATCTGAATTCCTAAGACCATTCATTATATTTTAGGTCTACTATTTCAAACTTTAAATCCTGGATATGGTGGTTGATACTTTTATTTTTCTTCAAATTTTCTTTTGACATTATTAAGGTGTATCACAGATTGAACCATTGCTGCTCATTTAGGGCTGAGCAACGAAACCGAGAAAACCGAAAAACCGACACGAACCGAGTAAAACGGTTCGGTTCAGTTTGGCATTATACGGTTCGGTTTTCTGGTTGGTTTAAAGTCTCAATTCTTTTGATTCGGTTCGGTTCGGGTTTTCCATATGGAACCCATTTGTTCCATATTGAACGAATAGACAATTTTTTTTAATTTTTTTTTATAGTTTCAAGTGATTTTTATTGAAAAACCGATAAACCGAACCGAACCGAAAAACTTGAACCGTTTAAAAACCGGTTTTTTTGGTTTTTTAACCATTCGATTTCGGTTTCGGTTTAAATTTTGAAAAACTGTTTATTTCGGTTCGGTTCAATTTTTGGTAAAAAACCGAACCAACGAATACACCCCTACTGCTCATCTCCTCATATATTTTTTTTGGAAATAAAAACTTTCAGGCACTGATGGTACAATCTCTTGCATGGCTTCATATTTTGTCTGCAATTCAATATTCAATGGAATCATGAAACTTGCTGGTGATACTAATGTAAGGGACATATCGTTTATCTTTTTCAGTGACAGGCAGAGAACAATTGCTACTCTCTTTATATATTGTTATTTTATTCACTTATTTTCTTTGCTCCAGTGACACTTAAAGTTACCATTTAGTGCTTCATACTATGAATTATTTGCATAAATGGCTTGTGGTTTTTCTTCTTCTTTTTCTTTTTTGCTCAATATCTTGTAAAGTAGAATGGGCTTCTTTTTCTTTCTGCATTGAACTATGTTTTGTATACAATGTCCAAAGGAGGAGAAATAAAAGAGAGGAAAGAAAACAGTTTATTAATGGTAGAGTAAGGCCTGATTTATGACCTTTATGTCATTGATATTATTTTTTCCGATATGCGAAGGATACCTCGATAATTTTTGCCATTGTTAAACAATGTACCTCTATAATGAAAGTCTTTGTTGCAAATAAGCTGTTGAGAAGAGAAATCATGCTCTGATGCGATTCTTTGAATAAAATCCTTTCCTGTCTGCAGTACTATGATCTTAGAAAGAAATGTGAAGGGAGCCTTTGCTATGACTTCTCGAACATGGAGACATTTCTGAACAAGAAATCTGTTAGGGATGCCCTTGGTGTTGGGAATATAGATTTTGTGTCCTGCAGCCCTACAGTCTATCAGGCCATGCTGGTCGACTGGATGAGGAATCTCGATGCTGGCATTCCCAATCTCCTTGAGGATGGAATAAAACTTCTTGTATATGCAGGGGAATATGATCTCATCTGCAACTGGCTAGGTAAGTATTTTGTGTTTCATGTTCTAGGGATAAGAGCATATCCATGGTGATGGATTCAGGTACAAGTATCAGATATGAGCATGTGTCCAACACGTGTATGTTATGTTCTTTCTATGCTTGTTCATGTATTTGAAGGGTCATATCCTCCTACCCTTACCCGTTATACATCCGACAAGAGTGTTGGACATAGTTACTTATAAAAAAAATGAAGAGATAAGAGCATATTATCGGGGCAATTACTTTTTGATTTGTATGATTGTATCATTACATGTTGTTGTACTTTAACAGGCAATTCAAGATGGGTTCATGCAATGCAATGGTCTGGACAGAAGGAGTTTGTAGCATCTCCGGAGGTTCCTTTTATAGTTGATGGCTCAGAAGCCGGAGTCCTGAAAACCCACGGACCTCTCGGTTTCCTTAAGGTCATCACTCTACTGACTGTATCTGTCTCTATAGTCGTATCGATTATCTTTGCAACGGTGCCGGCTGATATAACTACATAATCAAACAGGTTCATGATGCGGGTCATATGGTTCCTATGGACCAGCCCAAGGCAGCTTTGGAGATGCTGAAAAGATGGATCAAGAGTACAGTATCTGAAGCCGGTGATTCAGAGAAACTGGTTGCTGAGATGTGAGGTCCATTGCTTCCGTGCTTGAATTCAATGTAGTTGGCCTTTACAATGGGAATAAACTTATTTCAAGTAAATACCTGAAAACATTTGTATGTGGGATGTAATCCTTGTTTTCTTGGTCTTTTTAAATATATTACCTACAAGTATGAATCAAAGAACTTTTCTTCAAGTTGGGTATCTATGGTTTTTATAATTTTGATTCTCAATTTTTCCTGTCTGCAGTACTATTTATTTTTTACTTAGCAAACATAATTTTTTTTTATAAGAAAACATAACTGAAAAGATACAAATTAAAAATATTTTATACGTGTGAATGAGTCATGCCTCTCTCTCTCTCTATCCAATGATGTCATTTTTCACATCAATCACATGTTAATTGCTACATCATGAGTTATATTACTTTTCATATTATCGACGTTTTTACCAATTTTCTTTTACTAACACCCATTTTTCTAAAGTTAGTTTTGTCCGTCGAATGTCTTCAAAATATTCTCTAAGATAATCTCTAACGTATCGTTAGAGTAAAAAAAAATTTCAATTTAGAGATGAATTTTAATTCTGGCACATCTTCACTTTTAGTGTTAGAGTAGAGAAAAGCTACAGTAATACTCTATATCTATAGTTGCACTGTAGCTGCGCTACATATTATTATTTTTTGTTATTTTTATGATTTTTGGTTTTGTTTTTTTTTTTATTTTTTTTCTTTTTTTTACATTATTTTTTCTTATTTTATTTTTATATTTTTTTATAATTTCTACACAATAAAATAAAAATTAAACATAATATAACAAATTCAAGTATATTAAATTACAAGATAGATAAAAATACATTGAAATTAGATAAATAAATATACTAATAGTTAAATATTGTGAATAAATAGTTGTGGTAATATAGAGATAGTATTGAATATAAATTATTGTTTTATTTTTAAAGTAAAGATAGAGATTCTGTAAAGTAAATATGAGCGCTAGGGCACATTTGATCCACCGCACGCTTCATTTGCTTGGCAGCCCAGTTAATGCGTTCCACAAAGGCGCGCCAGACGTGGCACGCATTACCCATTTCCATGGGCGTTTTTACTCATCTTTGTAATTTTAAATTTAAAGTGATATTAATTCTTTTTATATTATGACAATTTATTTTAAACTTCATGTGTTATTTTTATTAAATCAAATATTATGTATATATTAAAATTAAAAATAATAAATAGTATATATGTCCCTTGCAAATTTATTTTCAAGTTAAGTTATTATATTTTTATTTAAATAAAATAGTGATTATTTTTCAACTTTAATATTAAAGTCTTTAGTACGATAAAATTATTTATTTGAATGTTTTTATTAAATTTAATAATGAATAATTTTTGTATTGCTTTTTATATTTATATTTACATTATCATTAAATTCCTTTGCAAGTCCTTGTCAAAGTGAACTACCTTAGATGATTATTTTCATTAAATTATATATTATATATTATATATATTTATCTCACAATCGAAATATTTGTTTGACATTCATGTTCAATCCAATTTATATAACTACTATTTGTTGATTTTTTTTGTTCATCTCGGAGCTATTTCTATTTCACATACGTTCACATTCATAAAATAATAAAATCTAAATTCTTCATTCTTCGTCATTTTTTTATTTAAAGCGCACCTTTCTGGGCACAAAGCGTACCACGCCATACGTGTCCAACCCATATTCTTCAGAGACTACATGAAAAAATTGAATACAAAAACTGCATACCGGACGCATACTTGTATCTGATAATGGTGCACTTTGATCGTTTGATTTGCTTACAGTGTTGGGTGCACTTGTTTCTAACTGATAATGGTGTTCATTATTACAGTTACGGAGATAGAGCTAGAAACAGGCTGAGACGATTGGTGGCCACAAAGCATATTTGGTTGTTAATGAAGTACGCCGATTGATAGAAAATGAATGTACCTCGTGAGTTTTAAGGACATCTTTTTGTCACTACTAAACCTTTCATGTTCAAATATAAGATTAGCAGATCATGGTTACATTTACATGCCTCCAGAATTCAATTACTTTGTAAGAATAAATAAATAAATAAATAAATAAATAGAAAGAATCAGAGAACCACTACGAACTTACAATGAAGATGCTATGCTGTTGAAGGGTTTCTAAAAGGTCATATATACACACATGAAATTGATGTACAAAGAAATAAAGAATAGTTAGTTGCACCTTTCTCCAAGGAACTACTAGCAAAAGCAGCCTAAAGGCATATAATCTAAATTTATGGTCGACATGGTTAGCCATCCTCCTACCTTCAAAATATCCACCATTTTTTCTTTTTCTTGCTCTCTAGCATCGTACTTCTGGACATAAGACGTAAAGCGTAAAACAACATTTGTGTCGATACGAATATGGGCCATGATTTGTAAATAACTCTGCTCAATATGGTAACAAGTCGATAACTACATGATCTTGTATGATGAGAAACAAGAAATCTTGAATACTAGTACACGTCTGGCACGGTTGAACACACTTTTTCTTTTTGAAGTTTTTCAGGATACTTGGGGGGATTATACCTTATACCCATGTCCGAATATTAGGTATGCTACTCGGGTTAAATTAAGAATCACAATGAAGTTTAAATAGATGCATGTTGATGTGTTTAGGGCTACCTTCTTCAGGATAAATCGAGTTATAGTGCACCTCAGCCCAGAAACTCAAGAAAATAACTGCAAAATCACAACGCATAAACAAGCAAAACGGAAGTGAGTATTAAGTGAAGTACATATAAAATCAAACAAACGGCCATATTAGACATATAGCACTATGTAATCCAATTCTACAAGGTGGAGTTCCTCGATTCTGCTATTCTCAGTCTTAGATTCATGTTGGAAATCTCTAAATAACTATACAGTACTATAATTTACAGCAAATGCAGACAACTCAAAAATACTATTTTATACAAATTCAGGGAGTAAAAATGCAAATTGATGATCTAATTATATTATAACCACTTCCAATATTAAACCCAAGAAAAAGATCAGGATATAAAGCATTGAGATCTTACTTTGTTCAGACTTCGGACGATGTGGAAGGATCTCAATATAACATGTATCCTTAAAGGAAGTTAATACAAATATCTTTACGCCATACTGCAATCAAACAGAAAATTTACATTAGTTATCTATTAAATGGTCCATACCAGAATATAAAAAACTGGTATTGCAAAAATAATGCAAGATATGAAATGCTAAGTCTTAATTTTATTTGCATATAACTGTAAAAATCACTCTTCATAGAAACTTGTCAAGCATACCATGCATCAAGCTACAAACTAATTTATTTCACAATTAGTAATTGCTTAGAAAAAATAGAAATGAAGTCCACTATTTTCAAAAATAGAACTTTAAATTGCATGGTATATTTTATACTATGAGATATATTTATTACCCAAGCTTGAAAGCCTTAGAATCTAACGAATAGGAATGAGATACAAACTAAATTACTTGGACTCAGGTGTGTCTAACATGGGTATGTGTCCAACACAAGCATATACATTTTTTTTCCAAGATTTCCATGTATTCGGATAGTCCTTGGAGGTTGGATATGGGTGCTGGACTCAGGTGTATGTCTAAAATGGGTATGCGTCCAACACAGATGTGTTCAATTTTTTCCAAGATTCCCATATGTCCGGAGAGTCCTTGGAAGTTGGACACAGGTGTCAGACATTGGAATTTCAAGAAAAATAAAGACTTGGAGCAACATAGTCCACAAATTTGTGACCATTTTCATCTATTTAGACAATATGAACAAAACTTTGCTCTCAGACAATTTTCCTTGTGATAACAGACTTCACTAGAACAGGTAAAGCTACATGTAAGTATTTCTTTCAGAAACTAAACATCCCTATAGAAATGAAGTGGAAAATATTCATAAAACGTTGTCTAAAAGAAAAAACCAGTTCACATACTAGCAAAGTTTAAGCCTTATGGTGGTAAAAAAGTTATGGTCTAGAATCAAGTTCTTGCACTTCAACAGTCTCTTGGAAAAAAGTAATAAAGCCACGTTAGAAATTAGAGAGTTTGGTCATTGACATACCAAATCTGCAGCTGCTTGCAAGGTAACGTGATCACCCCATTCACCATTCCTGCTTCATCAATGTAAATAACTATACTAAGCATGAAAGTGTCCTTGGAATGTTTTCTAGTCAAAACATAGAAGAGAAATGAATTCTTTTACTTGCTCATTTTCTTCAAATAGTCACCATAAGCCATTGGAACATAACCCTCGTACATCTCTGAATTTGATGTAAGCTAACGAAATCAACATATCATGAGAAAAAAGAAACATAAGACCAACAGGTTGAACTATGCGCCAAAGAAACTAAATTAGCTAAAATAAAGTGGAACTTACAAAAAAACCAACCAACCTGGTAAACAACTTGCTGCCTCACAAACTTGTGGTGATCTTGAGAACGGTAAAGTTGATCTGATAATGAACGAAACTGGAACATATGAAATAAGAAAAGTTACTTTAAGGTAATAACAAAATGGTCTAATAAAAATTACGAGGCTACGCAGTCATCAACTTTGCTTTAATAAAAGTTAAGCATCAATCACTGACGATATTCTAGAGAAAATAAGCCCTCAACAGAGTTTCATGACTAAATTTTGTAAAATGGTGTATCAATTCAATTGGAAACTAAAGCCAAATTAAATGGAACCAAGAACTGCAAATTAATTCCTCTAGATATACACATGTATATATATATATATACACACACACACATTAATATATGTATATATGTATTTTCCATGTGCTTCAGTTTGTTGGATGCATGAGTAACTAATGACCAGAAGAATCACTATACATATTGTGCAAGGTTTTAAAACACAAAAGCTTTTCAACCAAGTAGAAAAGAATCAGAAAGGAAGGCAAATGAAAATAATTTTTTTCCACATTTCATTACTTTAGAAGTCCATACAAACTTGGGACCAAACTATTCACATTTCAATACTGAGCATTTTTACCACATCCACTAAGTTATGAACTGTAAAATGATAGCTATAAGACCTGATTTCCATCATCCTATAATAACTCTAAGCAGACACTATAGAATTACCATGAATATTACAAACAGTGAAGTATTGCAAGAAATTCATGTTATTACTATTAGCACAAAAGGTTTCGAGAGAATCTACATCCAATATGTTCATGTGCCTTATTAAGGCCCCTTTCAAGCAATATGTTTATGTGCGGGGATCTATATATCACAAATTCAGAAGAGAAAGCACCTGTGCATACTATTATCCAATACGACATATCTTTCTACCGGAAAAATAAAATGAAAACCAACCTGACAGTTACCGTCACCTTGAACCTTATTCTCAATCAGACCATACAACTGCAACCTGAACAAGTAAAACAATTAATCCTAAATTAAAATGCTATTAAAATAAAACATTTATAAAAATCAGCCAAAAAAAACTTGACCTAATAAATTTACTGCAAAAGTATTTCTTTTAAGAAAATGGAGAAGAAAACAAAATGGTGAACCATTTTGGTAAAACAACTTAATCAATAACAAGTTGGCTAAAGATACTACCGAAAAACGATTGAGGAAAGGGGAAAAATAACAATTATTTTACCAAAATGGACCAATACAAGAGTTGAAACATTTTACAAAATTACAATTAAAAAAAACCTCTAACAAGTAAATTTATAATCGTACTATTTTTAAAAGACAAAGGAATAAGATGCAAAGGGACCCTCCATCAATGGAAAATAATTAGGGTGATGAAATTTATTTGCCACAAAATAACAGTATAAAAAAATAGAGATGCCGTTAACTATATAAAGGAAATTTTCAAGCTGAACCTATTAAGCAGCCTTTGATGGTCTGAAGTTTCTTCATCAACTGATGGTATTTCTCCATTAATTTTAGGTACATGCTGTACAAGCAAATCATCAAAGTTTATATGAAGGAAATATATCATATGAGTTAACTTCAGCACGTGATAAACAGTGATCTTTCCATTTCCACAACATTGTGTACCACAAATATACACCAACTTAAATAGATTTCATAACATTCATCAGAAAATTTGGTAATCAATATGCAAAATTGCAATCCATCATTAAACTAAACATGTTAGCCACAAGTTTTTTCAATACACAATAGAGAAAAAGAAACAAATGAGCAAATCCTAACTAAAAAACACAAATGACTGCACCAAAATTATAATAAATATAAAATCAACTAGTGATTGAAAGAGAATCCCAATAAATAACAAAACCTTCCAAGACTGTACTTACAGGAATAGCAACCATGTCATTCAGCCTCTTCTCTACTTGACCATCAAGAACAGATGATTGATCGATTATATCAATACGCAACATGTCTTCAACTTGAGAAATTTTGTCTCCCATGCCAGAGTCGCCACCTTGTTCACAACTACTTGTGATAGGATCATCTAAATCCGACTTTCCATGCTTAACTTCATTTCCACGTCTTTGGTTAAGATCTTCTATGATTTTCTGCCCATGTTCATGATCTATACAATAGCAACATTTTTACATTAATAAAAGCCAATACAAGCATTGAGTCAGAATGGCAGCTTCAGAAGTTCCAATTACCAGAACTATGTTGTCTTCCGGGAAGAACAACCCAATCTTGAGCAAGAATGATATCTTGGCAAGGATTGTTAAATCCAGATGCCTCTGCAGCAGCAAGTAGTGAAAGTTCCTCTTGAAGGGCATGTGCGATAACCGCATCATTCTCCACATTTACATTTTCAGGTTCAGGTTCTTGATAACCCTCTCTAATATATCCAGTTTGACTATTGTCTTTGTCATACTGCGTGACACTTCCACTGGCACCAGAATGGTTAAATACACAAATTTGCAGATCTTGGAGATCCCATCGAACAACATCAGGATCTATATCACATGTAATCATTATTAAAATTTATGAGACAACACTGTCCACGTTCCTAAATGAATTTGTAGACTCCACAAAAGGAATTCTGCAGACAAGAACATAAAGTAAATTAATCACAATTAGCACATGATAATATCCCTACAATAATAATATGCAAAATGTCCAAAGAAACTAGCATAGAAATTTCTTATTATAGATTCTGGAAGAACACAATAACCTAAACCTAGAAAATAGAGAGAGCAACCATTGCACGCAAGAACAAAAAAACCAAAAAAAAACCTAATTCCGTATTCCAATTTCTTAAAAAAGGCTTATGGTTTTACCGATATAACAATCACAACAAATATCATTACAACAAAATTCTATAACATGATGAGACAATTGATTTGAATTAAGTTGCAACCACCGATATCCAGTCAAAATGTCCTCATATTACTTAAAGGAATCGGTGAAAATTAACATATACATGAAAAAATATTTTATTCTCATTCAACACTCATTGTGATGAATGAATTTTTAAATCCAGATTCATGTCTCCATTTCAATTACAATACTGAGATTATATAATCTAATCGGTAGATTTTTTATTTTTATTTTTTTTACATTTGGATCTAGATTCTTTTCATTTCTCACAATCTTGTTCATCATTATTTTCCTCACATCTTAATATTATATAAGTTTTAAAATTAACAAGAGACAAATCAATTCCACCAGATTTTCTGATATTCTTCTTGATTCGATTCTTTCACAGATCACTGAATAAAACATCATTAATTTTCCTTACATATTTCTAAATATAGCATGCTTCAAAGGTTCCTATATACAATCACTCTTTTCTCATGCCGTCAGAAATCCAATTCATCTTCTAAGTTTCCATGAAAAGTAACGAATATTTCCAATATCGGAGATTTTAAGGAATATTTAAAATATATATAGTAGAACAATGTATGAACAACAAATCAGGAAAAACTACATGGTGAAATTAGGGATTTTAAAAAATAATATGAAATAAGAAAACGAAATTAAATTTTATCTGAAAAAGATAAATAATTTATTACAATCCTACCTGAAGAGGTTGAAGAGAACGTAAGCCTGGAGGAGAAGCCAAAGCCGACGCCGAGACCTTTATACTTATATTATTTTGTAGCTTTACCCACCCGGTTTCCTCCGGGTTTTCTTTTAGGGTAAAATACACGATTGGTATCTATACAATCACTTTTGTTTCATATTGGTACCTATAGTTTATTTTGTTTCAAAATCATACTTAACATTTAGTTTATGTTTTAGTTTAGTACACACTATTAAAAACATAGCAGAACTATTTCCCGTGATATTTTTATGGGTGTATATGTCTTTCATCAATCAAATTATTTCCTCATTCATATTTTGGTTATTAAAATTTTAAAAATTTCAATTTAACTACACAACTTTCAATTTTTAATCATTCTAATTTATTTTATTAATAATTTTGTGACATTTATAATAATTATTGTTTTATTTATATATAATTAAAATAAAAATATTTAAATTTGAAAGTTAGAGTGATTAAATTATGAGTAATTTGAAAGTTAAGTAATTAAATTAATTTAATTTTTATTGATCAAAATAAGATTGAGAAGATAATTGAGTGATAAAATGATGTAATTTACCCATAAAAAAGTTCCACGTAAAATACGTTAAATTTCTACGAAATATATCAAAATGAAACAAAAATAAATGTGATGATTTTAAAAATATAAAATTTAGGTACTAAAATAGACAAAAATAATAATTTAAGTATTAAACGTGTAGTTTATCCTTTACTCTTTTGAGGTTAAATTACTCCAATGGTTATTAGTAAAATTATAGATGACACATTATTTTTTTTAATTTAGGGTAAATACAAGACAAAATCTGTTCAAAGATAACTCTCAACCTTTTGACATTAAAGGCTCACACCATTGTCATTTATGGTGCTCGAAGTCGGATCCTAAAAAAAATAACAATTCCTTTATCACGAAGGTCACTTGATTCGTGTCACCATTATTTATTTTAAAAGGTTATAAACGGGTTATAACAAATTAATTATTTTAGTTAAAATTAAAAAATTAAAGTCTTTCATTTCTAACGACAAAATAAATTATTTGTTATAATCGGTTAATTGAATGATTTATTTGTAAATCCTTAAAATTTAGTGACCTATTTATAATCAAACTAATAATTAATTTACTTATGGTATAATTTATCCTTTTTAATTGGATAAAATTCCTTACATGAACGAATCTAGAAATAGATATAGGTAAGAGAAATTGGTAAACAATTATCAATCAAGAAATCTCGAACCCTGAATTCGATATACTATAAACAGTAAACATAAATATTTTTTTAAAATATATATTGAGAAGAACGAAAAGAAGAAAACAAAAGTAATTTCTTTTAATAAAAGCTGCTAATTTTATTTTTCTTAAATTTACAATAAATTTGTACAATTATAACCGTAAACTAAATACATAATTATGATATTTTCCTATAATCACTAAATAAGAAACTAATCTCCTGAGATCAAAGACCAAATAAAGAAAATATTAAAAACACAATCAAAATACTCGAACAAATATACAAATAGATCTTATTATATCCACAAACGAACCACGAAAAGAGATAAAAATTACTGAAAAACCACCAACAAATCGCATAAAAGTGTTGATCATCAAAATAAAAAACAAATATCATCTTGATCAATCTAGATGTCGTCTAATCCAACCCTAAAAAAATATAAAACAAAAAGAATGACAAACGACCGAAAATTTGTTGAAAGATAAAAAAAAAGTGTTCTAAAGATTAAAAAACATATCAAAAAGATAAAATTATTAAAAGTTAAAAATAAGAAATCTAAAGTTTTTCTTTTATTGGAATTATTGAGAAATCTAAATTTTAATTTGGAGATTCTAATATAATAATTGCATTATTATATAGTTTTAATACGCGTGATTTTGCATTAATATTTATTATTTAATGTATATATTTTCAAATTTCCACTCTAAACTTAAAAAATAAAAAAATATTATATTTTAACGATGATTTCACACATTCAAGAGTCTAATTATGATATCGATTCTAATATGATTATAAAAAATATCCGCAGCCTCTTTCAAGTATATAATAGTCAGCTTGAATAATGATTGAATTATAAAATATAAATAAATTATAATATTTTAAAAGAAGGTTTCAAATTCTACAAATGAAATCAAAACTCAAACAAATAAAAAGGATATTTACCAGACAAACCTAATCCAGTTAAGAAAAGCAACGTTGAAAACAAAGTACAACTAAAACACGACAAACAACGTGTGAACAACCTTGGTACGTTATTCTTGGCTTATTCCGTTGTTCCTTGTCATTTTTACCGTCAAAAGCTGAAATTCAGGCATTTGGAGTGGATGATTGTCAAGCGATTCTGAAAGAAGGGGTGGCCCATCTGTTACTTATTTTCGTCCATGGGAAACTGGTAATAAAGGAATGTTGAAAAAGGGAATTCCGTGACGCATTGCATTACATACCATCTTTTTTATATTCTAACTTATCACGCATGACGTCTGCAAATTGACCCTTGTAATTGGTCAAGTTTTGAGGGTTCGTTTATACCTACAAGATAAAGCCACTTGTCCATGACCCATGGGAAAAGTAAAACACTAATTGGGTATTGATTTCTGTTACAATTTCAGAATTCTGGTGAAAGACTACAAGATTTGGCGGACAGGGACTCATACAACTCGGTTTGAAAAATACCATCTCGATATCGAGTTCTAATCTTCAATGGCATTTCCTCCTCCATCCAACTGGTTTTCTTGCTCTTGTTGCTCTGTACAACAAAATATTTAACACCAACTGGACGTTAAGTAATCAGAGTCAGTCAATTGCAGGATAGCACATGATCCCAGAAGTTCTATTCAAGTATAAATAAAGGACTATGTCCATGGGGTCGGGAATGTCCCTATGTACGCAGCTATGTTGTTCTAACTCTTTTTTTTAGGTATGGGATATAATCTCCAAGGATCCTCCAAATCTGTGGGAAATCATGAAAGAATCTAACATTACCCGTATCAGATACAGATCCATATCCAAGTAAATTAGGCCTACAGCCTCCCCCTGCTTGCAAAAGAGGATGTTTCCAGGGTTTGATCCCATGATTAAGCGTATAACAACACCAGACCATTACACTGTTAAACCATATAACTAATTGTGAAAACTAAAACCATAAAAAACAAAACCAAAAAAAACCACCAACTTCCTTTATATATGTATATATATATATATATGTGCATTTCACACGGTACACAACTCTTTAACTGGCAATAAGCTATATTACTCGGACTAGGGTGTGAATGTTAGAATACAAGTATTTGTCCACATGGGTATCTTCGATTTTTTTTTCAAACTTTTACACGTAATTGGATGGTCATATCCCCATCCCATGCCCAAAAATGTGTCCAACATAAGTGTCAGCTGATATACGATGAATCAGATCAAACGGCATAGCTAATCTGACTTTAAAGCAGATTCGGAGCATGAAACTCATTTTTATGGCTAATATTAATCTAAGGTTCCCATGAAAATTGAATCTAATTTGAATAGTCTGTAAGTGAAGAAGAAACAGGTCGATTTGATTACCCATAAGTTTGAATATTGCCTTCTGTGTTCGCCTTTCAAGCTTATCGAGCTTCTTCTGCACATCCCTTCGAAGATCCCAGTTTGGTTTCTTGGGAGCAATGTTGACAAATGGATCCTACACCATTTTATCCACCATTAGAACAAACAGAAACAAACACCGTTTGGTTAAACATGATATTGACGATAAACAACCTCTTTTCTTCAGGTGCTGGAGGTGCTGCTGCACCAGGGTCTTCAAACTTCGGCAGCACGGGAGGAGCAACCTTACCCTCCTGAAGCTGTTTATCATGAGGTACGTAGTTACGGAACTTCATGCTAGGGTTGCTGCAGAACGAAAAGGACAAGGCACACATGTTAATGATAAAAATTGTCGGTGAAAGAGAAACAAGGAGACATCCATGTGAACAAGCATTCTATAACTTCATGCTGAAAACTCCATGGTACAAAAAAAGACCAGCAGCGAAGTGGTACATTTTGATGATCGGAATTTTTAGTTCAAGGAAAGTAAACAGACAACCCTCTTAATATAAGTTCTGTGATTCACCTTGGTACAAGTGGTAAACAACAAATCCCTAAATTTATTTCGATCTACAAGTAGGTTGGAAAGCGAATAGAATTATGGAAGAACGCTGTTGTTCAGTTTTCAGGAAGGCAATGAATAACAAGGGATACATGTCTCAAGAATACCCTACAGTCCCACATTTGTTCAACTTGCAAGTACTGAGATGACATGAACGGATAGGATCATTGCCCTCATCCTTAATTTCTTTCAACTTATACAACTTTGGTTCAACGGAAAAATCAGAAGGAAACAAAAATTTTCAGCAGAACTTTATGTTAACCTCGTTCCTACCACACTAGAAAGCATATCCATTGGAATAAAGTCCTTGATCCGCCCAACTTCTCATCCTTCTTAACAACTCTTAGAAACAGAGGCAATTTCGGTCCTTTACACCACACAACCAAAAGCCTTCCTGACTTTCCTCTTTTTCCAAATTATCCATAAAAAGAAAACCCTAGCATCTTGCTCTTCTAGTCTGAAAAAGGACAACCAAAACCAGCAAAAAGCTTCTATGGAAATAAATTCACTCACAGTCCTATTTGGTGCAAGCAAGGGACCAATCCATACCCCAATATTAGTACTTGAATGCATATTTTATTTAACACTCCAAGAAGTGTTTGTGCGTATATAAAACAAAATTTTAAATAAAATAAAAATCAACATTCCAACATAATCAACTAATGAAGTTGAAATTGAAAGAACTGTTGAGGCTCAAGCTTCTAGCATACTGTTTCTACTCAGCTCGAATCATTTAAACCCTAGTATATTAGTCAATTTTAACTATGAAACATGACATCCCTATACCCTTAGTCCAAAACAGCAATATTTTCATGCTATTCCTACACCTATTGTCCAAAACAGCCATATCTCACAAGATAAACAAAACCCATTATTAAACCAACTATGATAACATAATGCATACTAATTTTATGTTAATAAACAAAGAAAAACAGAAAGATAAATAAGACTTTTAACGTACTCTTCTTCATTGGTTTCATCCGTTTGATTCTCAGCAGCTTGAACAGAATCTTCATCTGGGGCATTCAATAGTTCCTGAGCTGCTTTAAGAGCCTTAAGCCTCTCTCGACGCGACGCAGCTGCTTGTTCTATCGATTCCTCTTCGGTAGCCATATCTCGCCGATTTCAGTGGAGTCGAGTTGGGGTTTCCCTTATAAACGGGGATACTTGATTTTAAACTTCTTAGCGAATTTTATTGGACCTTTAAACCAGTCCAAACACTAAAACCAAATGTGTGATTTTCATTACCTGATCCGTTTAGGAAATCATTATGTTTTTGGCTAAATTACATTAAATATCATTGATGATTTAATAATTTAATTTTTATTGATATTTTAAAATAATATTAATTATCAATTTATAATAAATCGATCACTTAACCATTAAAAGACTTATTGAGATAGTGAAATATTATTGTGATACATTAGATCTATTGATCTAATACTATTTAACTACTCGAGACAATCGTTTTGACGAGTGATTTTGTTGAAAACATTTTGATATTTCAATATAACAAATTAAGTTAAATGAATTTTAAGATTTTCCAAAAAGGTTTTCTAAGTATATTCGATATAATTATTCGAATATCAAAATATTACTCCAAATCTTTCAATGTCATTTTAATCCTTACTCAAGTGTAAAATTAAGTTTTAATCTTAAAATAATTCAAAACGATTTTACAAAATATTCGAACCATCTCAAAGCCAAAAATTCCAGATTGCTCAGAGGAAACCGATTCCTCCCAAGGGGTACCGATTCCCCCTGAATGGTTTGGCTCCGAGAATTCCAGTATGCTCGGAGGGAACCGATTCCCCCCAGGGGGTACCGATTCCCCCTGTGTAACGGTCAAAATATTTGAATTTTACACTTAGGGAACCGATTCCCCTTAAGGGGTACCGATTCCCCCACGCTCCAAATTGTTTTATTAATTGATTTCACACTAAACGACTATATTATCTTCATTAATGATCCCAACGTCAGAAGTGATTCAAGGTGTATTTAAGCAAGCTTAGAAGCCATTGATCAATAACAAGAAACATCAAGCAACTAGAATCAAGAAAGAATCAAAGAGAAAGCATCAAACCTCAAGTTTGAGCATTTTAAGCCTATTTTTCATTCAATATTCATTTTGCTTTCAAGAACACTTATTGTGCTCATTGTATTCGTTCTTGAGTGTTTTTTCTTTATTCTAGAATTGTGCAAACAATCTACCTTGTGGATTTCCTTGTAAGTTTGCAAATTGTATTGTTCTCTTTGGGAGAGAGTGTTCTCAAGAATTTGGGGTATAATTCTTGAGGGTTTGTAAGGTTACTCTTTGTCCTCAAAAGAAAGACAAATTAGTGAATTTGTGGAAAATCCTTAGTGTGGATAGCTAAGGTAGTGGACATAGACTTTGGTTGAGAAAGTCGAACCACTCTAAATTGCTGTGCAATTTCTTTCAATTTTCTGCAAAAGCTTCCACCAAAATTTTTATTGCCAATTCACCCCCCTCTTGGCCCATTCCGTCAATCGATTAACTCAACAATTGGCATCAGAGCCTAACTCATTTGAAGGTTTAATCGCCTCTTGAGTCGATTCGGGAAGAGTTACATCGATAATCAAAGTCATCAATGGCCTCTACTTCAAACTTCGACTCCGGTCTCGATTTGATGCCCGTCAATAAGCCTCCTTTCTTCAATGGGGCTAATTATGCCTATTGGAAAAATAGGATGATGTACTTCATTCAAGCAAGTGACATGGGAGCATGGAATGTCGTAGAAGAAGGATACTTCAAGCCTCTCACTCATCCAAGATTATGGAGTGAAGGAGAGATAAAAATATTCCAGCTCAACTCCAAAGCCATCCATATCATATTTTGTGCTCTCAGACCAGATGAATACGGAAGAGTTTCATCTTGTACAACCGCCAAAGAAATATGGGACAAAATTCACACTCATGAAGGTACCGATGAGGTAAAGAAATCTAAAATTAGTATTCTAGCGAATAGCTATGAAAATTTCAGGATGAAACCAAATGAAGATATCAAAGCTATGACGGATAGATTCTCAACAATTTTCAATGGTCTCAAATCATATGGAGAGATCATTTCAAATGAAAAGCTTGTGAGGAAGTTAGTATACTCCCTCCCAAAATCGTGGCAATCAAAGAAGACGGCAATCATCGAGTCTAAGGATCTAACATCCTTAACTCTTGAAGAGCTAATCGGTTCACTCTTCACTCATGAAATGATCTTGAAGATGAGGTGGACCTTGATAAGATTGAAGAGACACCAAAGAGAAGGAGAAGAAGAAAAACATTGGAGTTGCTCTCAATCTACAAAAAATGAGAGTGATTCGGATGAAGATGACATGACAGGAAATGGCATTGTTGCCAAACGGTTTAGAAAAATGATGACCTTACCAAGGAAGAAAATTTAAACGAAATGAGGCCTAAAAATGACCAAAAGCCTCGAAGAAGCTCTACCAATTCCCGACACAACCGAGAAGATGGCTTCTACCTCCGGCTCGTTCCACATGGAAGACTCCCTACCAACTGACAAACCTCCATACTTCAATGGAGTCAACTATCATCATTGGAAGAAATTAATGAAAGTATTCATCCAATCCAATGATCTTGATGCATGGGAGATAATCGAGAACGGCTACTCTTCTCCAAAGAAGAAGGAGAGAAGAGTGACAAAGAACGAAAGAAAGCTCAACTTAATGCCATGCACATGTTGTTTTGTGCATTTGGTCATGAAATCTATGAAGGGTTTCTTCATGTTCAAGTGCCAAGGAGCTTTGGATAAGCTTGAGGAAATCCATGGAAACAAGAAAGAAGAACCAACAAAGGTGGTGTCTCTAATGGCTGTGAAGAGCAATCATAGAGGTCCCCAAAGAACCTCTAATGGAAAAAATCGTTAGAAATATATGGGTTTCCTAAAGAGCTCATTACTACTAAAGATAAATATCCTACACAAATGGATACCTCAGGGGACTAGGATTTTGGAAACTAATGAATATGGACCCAAAAGAATTTGGCTACCAAAAATTAGAAATTAATCTATGTTTGTAGGAAAGGAGCATTGCTACAACGCACGGGAAACAAATCCAATTCATGGTACCTTGATAGTGGATGCTCAAGACACATGACCGGAGACAAAAACCGTTCATTGAGCTTAACACCAAAAATGGAGGAGAAGTGACTTTTGGTGATGATCAAAAGGTCACATTGAGGTATTGATACTATTGGTAATACCCTTTCCATACAAATTAAGAATGTTTTATATGTGAATGGATTAAGCATAATTTATTGAGTATTAGTCAATTTTGTGATAAGGGAATCAATGTCATGTTTGATATTAATGGTTGTAAAGTCATTGACATTGCATCTATCGGATTATACTTGTTGGTCATAAATAAGAAACATATACATGGTGTATTTAGATTCTATTAATGACTAATTTGTGCCTAGTTGCTAAGGATGAACATGATAGTGGTTGGCATAGGAGAACTAGGACATGCTAGTATGAGTGTTTTGCAACGGCTAACTCAAGGTGATTTAGTTAGAGGGTTGCCTAAGCTAAATTTTGATAATGATAAAATCTGTGATGCTTGTGCTAAGGAAAACAAAAGCGAGTTTCTTTTAAATCCATTAATGACGTATCAACTAGTAGAGTATTACAATTGATCCATATAGATCTTTTTGGGCCAACTAGGACTACTAGCTTGGGGAAAACAATATGCATTTGTCTTGGTAGATGACTATTCTAGATATACTTGTGTTCTATTCTTAAGTACTAAAGATGAAGCATTAGAAAAATTCATCACGTTTTCAAAGTAATCCAAACGATAAAGGTTACTCTATAACTAGTGTTAGGAGTGATCATGGCACTGAATTTGAAATCTTGGATTTACTGAGTTTTGTAATTCTAATGGTATTAGTCACAATTTTCAGCACTAGACCCCTCAACAAAATGGAGTTGTTGAGAGAAAAATCAACTTTAGAAGAAATGGCTAGAACCATGCTTATGAAAATAATTTGCCAAAATATTTTGGGCAGAAGCCACAATACCGTTGTTATATTGTAATAGAGTAGATTAGGCCATTTTAAATAAACTCCATATGAAATTTTCAAAATGAAAGCCTAACATTAGCTATTTGCATCCTTTTGGATGTAATGTTTTGTTTTGAACAACGGTAAAGAAAACCTTGGCAAATTTGATGCTAAAGTGATGAGGAATTTTTTTTGGGTTATTCCTTAAATTCTAAAGCTTATCGAGTATTTAATAAAAGAACTTTAGTTGTAGAAGAGTCTATACATGTTGTTTTCGATGATAATCCCCTTTCAGGAAGGATTCTTGTGTTAATGATGATGTAGGTATTATAAATACAAATGACGTTAGACATGACGTTGGAGAATCATCATCAAAAGAAGAAACGAAAGATGAGGAACTCATGATCCCCTCAAGAATCCAACCATTGAAGAAAGGGAAGTATTATCCAAGAGAGTACAACTATTCAAAGATGGTGAGATTATAGGTGATCCATCCAAAGGGGTAACAACTCGATCTTCTCTTAGAAATATTTGTAATTATGTTGCATTTATTTCATGCGTAGAGCCTAAAATTATAAAGCATTAAATGATGAACATTGGATTATGGTTATGCAAGAAGAATTAAATCATTTGAGAGAAGTAAGTATGGACATTAGTTAAAAGGCCTAGTAATAAATCTACTATAGGTACATGGGTATTTAGAATAAGCTTGATAAGAATGGTAATATAGTTACAATCAAGGCTAAGTTGTTGCTCAAGGGTATACTCAAGAAGAGGGTATAGACTATGATGAAACATACGCTCCCGTAGCTAGGATGGAAGCAATTAGAATGTTATTAGCATTTGCATGTTTTCATGAATTTAAATTATATCAAATGGATGTTAAAAGGGTATTTTTAAATGACTTTATAAAGGAAGAAGTGTATGTGGAACAACCTCTAGGTTTTGAAGATTCAATTTCCAGATCATGTTCTTAAATTGACAAAGCGCTTTATGGTTTAAAACAAGCTCTTAGAGCTTGGTATGAAAGATTGTCAAACTTTTTAATTGAAAAAGTTTTTCAAAAGGGAAGGTTGATAATACATTGTTTTTAAAGCACAAAGGTAAAGATTTATTAGTAGTTCAAATTTATGTTGATGATATAATATTTGGTTCTACTATGATGTTCTTTGCCAATAATTT